GAGGCCGTTGACATCCTTGAGGGGAACAATTTAATGAACTGGAGATTGGAGGAAGGTAGAGTTAGCTAGGTAGAGTTATCTAGGATCGACTACAGTTTCGACCTCGTCTAGGTATTATCAACACCCTTAGCAGGACTCGAATTACAACACTGCAGTGTAAAATCCCGACACATTAATCACTACGCTACAACGCCATGATTGACCTTAAGTTACAGGTCATATGTGAATTGCAAACAAGGCATATTCCCATATATTCTGTGGCGGGAGCGTCGATCAGGCAAAGTTATATTTGCTATGTTAATTGCCTATGTTACTTATTTTCCGTTTGTAAGTAGGTCTACGAGACTAACTCCAAATAATCTATATGACAATGTGATGTAGTGACTAACGTGTTGAGAGTATACGCTCCATTTTGATGATTCGAGTCCCTCTAGAAGTGTTGATAAGACCTAGGCGAGTTCGGTATTGCAATACATTCTGAATGAGATTATCTTTTTGGATACTAGGTTATAGGAAATTCAATGGAAACGGAATATTACACTGATCATTGAAGAAAAATGCATTAAACTATCCCGTGTCACCTTGAGCGAAATAGGATTAACACATCTCACATAAAATGATTGCGCAAAAACGAGATTAGATGGGCCAGTTGATTCCGCATTAACATTAGTTGATACCTAATTTATATTTGGATGCCAATATTTGTATTAATTGCCTGAAATGAGTGAATATTGTTGCAATAATCAAATTAAAAAGTTTTAAATGGTATAATATAGGAAAAGGAATCAGTGTATCAGAACCGCCATGGCAGAGCAATTGGATATAAAATTGTGAAAAACGGGATGATTATGAAAGATACGAGTAAGAATCTAGAGTATTTTGAGAAATGGTACATAACTAAACATTAAATCAATTCCCTAGATAGAATGACCCACGCGGATGAAGACTGCTGAATAGTTCTTGAAGCAAGGCTAAATGAGACTGTCACGATAAATAAAGCGACACAAGCTTGCTTTTTATATGATGAATTACAAAATAAATGCTTAAAACATCAAGGAAAATGGGAAAAATGAGGCTAAAAATGATAAAACCAAAAAAATCATATTCGTGGAACAAAAATTACTACCTGGATCTCCATAAACGGAGATAAATGGCCCGAGGACTCCAACTGAAGGCATGATAACATGGAACTCTGGGATGAGAAGAAGTTCTCTAGAAGCCAAATGAATTGGGTCTGCAGATGAATCGGCGCTCTGCATCATGGAATTAGACTTGTGAGGAGTGTCAGTGACGCTTTTATCAGAGGCATTCAAATCTGACCTGGCAGAACCAGATACTTTTAAGACTCCGAGACCAGACTGCAAACGGACATCAATGCGGAGACGTGTAAGCGGAGAGAGGAATATCGAGAATAGAACATTTTCTCTTGCCTGACCTATTATATCCCCGGCCGAGGAACTTGGCTCTTTGGGCTCTACAAGACAGTGCCAATGATGTCGGCCAGACTGAGAACTACTGGTAACACGATTTGCATGGCTCCCGCCTTCGTTTTCATCAAAAGTATTCTTTCCAGAAAGCTGCGAACTGTCCAAACCGAATGAAGGCATCATGCGAGAGCGGATTTGGCCGCCGATATTAATCGGCATGGCAGCACTTAGAGAATCACTTGTCTCAGATGCACTTAATCTGTCGATGTTACCCTGTTCAGAAACGGGATTCTGATCAAATGGAAGTTGAAGGAGTACAAGTATACGTACTAACCAATCGGGGTGAGTATCTCGAGGCGAAGCATATTGGGATGTCTTGGTAACAAGACTAAGAGAGCAGACGAACGGTGAATTGATGGACATTCGAGAGTTGGCTGTAGTGAGATGAGAGCCGCCAGAAGAACAAAATCTACCCAATTAAAAATATATCGAAAAAACAGTTATTATTACATTAATTGCTATAAATGGCGTAAGGAAAAAATGAGGAAATATTTTCCAGGTTTATACCGAAAATTTGTCAAATTTTATTTTTTGATGGAGGGAATAGTCGCATCTATTTAAATTAATTTTCTGAATTCTGGAAACAAATGGCAATGAAGTCAGAGATTATTCAATGATTTTTATATAGAGAAATTCAAGAAAAATGACTCAAAACTCGTGTATAATCGAGATAATTCAGTTTAAGCATCTGTGAATAATACTAAGCTAATCTGATTATTAGGTGATACACAGTATGGATACTTAAAATAACACTTGTGAAGAAAAGGTGCAGAATTGTAACTAAAACAATAAAATGATATATAAAGATATCCGGATAGGAAAAATTTTAAAGCTTGTTAAATTAGACTTTAGGAAAATAAAAACAGTAAAAAATTTTAAAAAAGCCAGAGAACCTGGAAGAAAGTGAATGCAATGAGTGTAAAATTCGAGTTGCCTTTTCTTCGATTTTCTAGAAATTTCCTGTCTGCCTACCTTGTATCGCTAG